TTGCCAGTAAGTCGAGCGGCGAATGCATCGAAGTGGTTGAGTATCTTGGTCTCCTCGTTGCAAGCTTTCTCAAGATACCTGCAAGCACACGGGGCCCAAGTTAGAGCAGCTACAATGACGGCGAGAGGCCCACGTCTTCGACGCTGATTCGCCGATGGAGTGTGATGTTGCCGGTGATCACAGCGTGAGGGCACTGTAGCCCAATGCGTCGCCGTTGTGTCTTCGGCTATGCATGCTCTCCACTGCTCACTCGCTTGCTCTGAGCACTACGAGGTGAAGTCGAATNTGGTTGTTGGGCGAGCGGCCCGCATCATCTGCCTCTCTACGTTTGGAGTGCGTCCCTTCGAAGTTCCTGATAACGACGACTCTGACGGCATGCATGTGACGCCCGGCTGTGATGTATGCCGGGACTATCACATCATTCCTGCAGGCTTTCGAAACACGTTCGCCAACAACAATCGCAACGAAAAACAGTGCGAAGAGATCGAAGAGGGAGTGAAAGCCGACAAGATCGAGCTGCTCAAAGACCATGCTTTGAGCAGATTGCTTTCGCTGCACGAAGGAGACAAGGTCGCTTTCAGTGTTGCAGTCGCTGCGCCCAAAGACCTGCACAACCCGTACGGCACGGACGAGCTTGTCAAGCTTTTCTTCGCCTACATATATGACGACGANTCGTCGTCATATATGTAGGCGAAGAAAAGCTTGACAAGCTCGTCCGTGCCGTACGGGTTGTGCAGGTCTTTGGGCGCAGCGACTGCAACACTGAACGCGACTTTGTCTCCTTCGTGCAGCGAAAGCAATCTGCCGAAAGCGCGGTCTTTGACGTGCTCGATCTTGTCGGCTTTGACGCCCTCTATTCCATTCCTTCGCACTAGTTTTCGTTGCGATTGTTGTTGGCGAATGTGTTTCGAAAGCCAGGAATGGTGTGATAGTCCCGGCACACATCACAGCCGGGCGTCACATGCATGCCGTCAGAGTCGTCGTTATCAGGAACTTCGAAGGGACGCACTCCAAACGTAGAGAGGCAGATGATGCG